TTTGAGTCTGGCGCACACTACTAAATTATTTATCTTTGCTGTAGTTGCCTTTTAATTAAAGTGTTTGCGGTAGAAAAACTGTTATACACAAAACCATTTTTATTGCAAGCGTGAACACAGCAATAATTCTGTGTTGCGTAAAAGAAGATGCTGTTATGATTTACTGAAAAGAAATCTAATTTGCAGGGTTTATGTGTGCCTAGATGGCATTCGGGCATTCACTGACAGTCACTGACCACATTACAAACCACTTTGATGTTCTGTTTTTGTTAAAAAAAACTGCAAACGATTACAGACTGGCACACACGCACCAAAGCGTCAAATAAGTTACCCCGCCACACACTGGTCACACACTAATTCACACCTCAGCATTTTCACTGCCGCCTAGATAAGCGTGCACTTTTTTTGCAGATATGCTTCTTTTTGCCGTTCTTCACTTTCTTTCTTTATTTAACTGCAACCACTACTGCTGCTGCTGTTATTGTAAGAGCAAACAACAAAACGAGCCTTTTCCTTGCTTTTCTTGCCGGCACATTGGCAGCGCAAAGTTAGAAGTTACTGTTGGCAAAAGACAATGGTTTTCTTCTTTTTGCTGCTGCTGTTCAGTTCTTTGAGTTTTCAAACAGCCCAGCCGCATCAATACAGTTTACTGCTGGTAAATTGTTTTTAGTACTTCTTTACAGTGAGCATCTCCTCATCATCAAAGTATGAATTAGCCATATTTCACCACCGTCTCGCCGCAGATGTGCAAACGTCACCCTAAACACAGCTTAAAAAGAAAGGAACCGGCAGCGTAAGAACTATGCCGCATCAATCGCAAAAGTGCATCTGTGTTGACTTTTGACATGCTGCCGCTTGCCGTTTGTCGTTGTCTTGTACCATTGTCCCTCCTTTTGTTTTCTTTTGCCTTTGCATGCCTAAACTAAGTTCAGTTTTGCTAAGCTACTACTGTTGATTTTGTTTTTCAATATGCATGCTGACAAGAGCTTTCATAGAAAAAATGTCAACGCACAGATTTACACAACAGGAAAAAAAGTAGAATCAAAATAAACTTGCACGCGAGTGCAGACAAAATCAAAACTAGATCAAAATTGAACATGGCAAAGCTAGCAAAATTAAAGATAAGAAGCTAAAATGGAGCAAATAAAACGTTGACTTTAAGATGGTGTCAGCTATCAGTCTCAAAACAAACAAGCAATTGGTAAACAACCAGCCAATAAGTTTGTTTGTTTTGTTGTTTATTAAAAACTGACCACGTTGTTAACAATACACAAAATGTTAAATTGCTATACAGTTTGTAAATGTTTAAACAATGAAGTTAAATAAAACTTAAGCTGGTTTTGTATTAAAACAAATTATTGTTATTGATAAAAGTCACAAACCTTTTACTCAAATTTTTTAAAATCAGCTTTTATTGCATGTGCCCCCAGCTTTAGTTAGAAAACAATTTTGGTGAAAGCGGAAATGGCGCATTTGTATGACTCTCACTCTTACCATCTGTCAACAAACGCAAACTACAAATCTTAGTAATTTTCATTGCTAATCAAATGCTAAAACTTATTTCCTTTTTATTTATTTTTTATCAAATGAGGTTGAGGCTAACTGTATGGCTAGAAAGGTAAGCAAGCAAGTTTTATAATTTAAACAACATTAAAAACGCACTGAAACATTAAAATCAGCAAAGGTAAATGAGAGTGGCTGCATCTTTCTTTTGCATGCTTCATTTAAGATGACGGAGAAAGACTCTCTACAAACTACGGCTCATTACCAGTCGCTCACTGAAAATTACACCAAACGCTATACAAGAAAAGCACGTTATGTTGCTCTTGATGTTTTTAAGCAAGAAAATATGCAAAGTTGCGCGATATGCCCGAAAAATGCACGTAAATGCATACAAAAGAAGTTTTAGTTTTAATATGCATTTGTTAGCTGTTTGTAGCTCACTTATTTATTTGCAAAGAAAGATGACACTTTGAGTGTGAAATTCCACTACCAACCTCCTTCTCCTCTTTTCTTCTTCTTCTCTGTTTTACGGGCATCACTGGTGCTGTCAACAACGTCAATTCAAAACGCCTAACAGTAATAATACAGTAATTTAATTGCCACCGCCGCTACTGTCATTATTATTTTCTCAATCCCTCACCTTTTTGGGCGCTTCTAAAAAAGGTACAGTTAAACTAAAAAAGTGAAGGCAAAAACTGAGCTTGTCCCNTTATTTTCTCAATCCCTCACCTTTTTGGGCGCTTCTAAAAAAGGTACAGTTAAACTAAAAAAGTGAAGGCAAAAACTGAGCTTGTCCCTTCCGTTCAGTGCCCAGGCAGTGGTTGCTGCTATTGATGTCAGTGCCTCTGATGAATATTCAGTGAGGTAAGCACACTCACTCACACAAACAGGTCGCAACTGAGAAAGATGCTGCAGCCATCCTTTATTATTATTATATCATGCCGCTGCCGATAAAGCTGTTGTGGTTGTTGTTGCTGTTGTTCTAAAAGCAGCAGTTGTGGTTTTGCAGTTTGGATGACTCTCACTAGCTTAGGCTCTCTGTCTCAGCCTTCCTCTCTAATAATAGCAGGTCACTGCGTCCACTGATATCGAAGGAAAAAGTCAAACACGAGAGCAGTAAAAAAAGACAAAGAGAGACAAAGAAAGAGAGAGAAAGTAAATTTAAATGAAAGCTAATGAGTAAACGTGTTTGGAAAAAAGAGTGATCCGTCAGTTGTCTGCATTGGATTGTTTGTGGTTGCCGGTAAAGCAATTTTTTATATTTGAAAAACCAACATAGTAAACACAATTGTTGTAATTCTTTTCACTTTTTTATTGTTTTAGTGTATTTTTGTTAGTTTTTCTCTGTTAGTCGTCAGAGTAAATTGTGCTTGCTCACAAACGGTGGTTATAAAAAGAGAATATTCTTGTTCTGCACCCTTTCAATAGTGAATGAGACAAACAGTGGCCGTCTATTGTTACGCATAATGAGAGAACTGCGAGAGACGACGAGAATAGATACGGAAGACCAAAAGGGAATGAAAGGGAATGAAAAATTGACTAGTAGCATTGTGGTAACACCGGCGACGTGTGACCAATTAGTCTGCATATTTTGCCTTTTCCTACTCTTTTACAGGCTGAAAACGTGTGCCTCACTTTTAAAAAATACCCTTTTGCTCCTTGAGCAGGTCAAACTCTGTCAGGTTTCCTCACGTTCAGTCACTTGTTCATTTTTCTTTCTTTCTTTCCTTCTCTAGCAATTAATAAAAAATGAGCTTCCTTTGTCGTTTTTAGTTTTTCTCTGTTTTTGTTTTTGCATACACACACTTTCCTTTCTCAAGTAATCAAATGCTAATGTCGTGAATTTCACTCTCAGCATTTAAAAAGCAGTGAGTTTTTAACACCAAGCAAATTGTAAGCAGATACTAATGCTGTGGTGACTAATTGTGCTCATTTTTGTCAGCATAAAATGAGTAAATTTCAATTAGCAAGTCGTTTAGCCGAGAAACATTTTATTTTACCGCAAATATTAAAATAAGTTGCTAAAAAATGCATAAACAAAAAATGTTTAATAATGTGTTTATTAAAAACAAAATGTCAAGTAGATTAAACTAAACGGAAAGCATCCTTGACCGTCGATCATTAAAAACAAAAAAGCAAAAAAAGACATCAAATAGCATTCACACAGTTTGCACTGCTGCGGTTTTTCAATGGTATTTTTTCTTTTTTATACTCCTGCTCAAAAACTCCTTTTTAATAACCAACAAAAGTTTTGGAGATGGGCAAACAATTGAGCAACACCTAACAACACTTCTGTGAGTACCATCAAAAAGAAAGTAAGTGTATGTGTGTGTATTTGTGCAAAATGAAAGGAAGGACATCGTTAGTTAGATGGCGGTGTTGAGCAGCCAAACAGAAGTTCAACAGACAGTGTCTAGTGCCAGGACAGTGTGATTTGTCGTCAAGTGGATTTGTGTAAAGAGAGAAAGCGGAAAGATAGAAAAACAGAGGGGAGAGAGAGAGAGAGAGAGAGAGAGAGAGAGAGGTCAAGTGATGATGCAACAAGCGACTGCCGAGTTCAGTGCTTGAGATTGAGATTGCCACTGAAGTCAGCGGCTGAAGTCACTTAAGCTGCCCTCCAAACCTGTTGGTCACTGACTACTGTTGATGCTGATGCTGCTGCTGCCATTCACACTTGCTTAGCAGCCAAAAAGCAACAGCATGTGATGCGGCAGTGATGGAAAAGACGATGACGACAAAATCCTCATTTTTCCGTTTTCTTCCTTCCCCTCATCATCCGGGCAATTGGACAATTTGCCGTCAATTATTTAGTCGTCAATAGCTGTGCAGAAGCAAAAAACACAATGGCAAGCAAAACTAAGCATCTGTTTCACTGCTCTGTTTTTATTTCTGTTCCTATCCCTCCAACGCTTGTCTATTGAGCCCCTTTCATGCTGTATAATCCAGTTTTTTTCACATAATCATTTTCCGTTTGCCCATTTCTGTCATCGCTGTTTTTCACTTATATTTATATTTAACTTTTTAGCTTAAATGGTAGCTACAAAATGTAGCGATACAGAAAAACATCACAAAAAAGTTGGCTTCAAAGAAGAGTAGAGGGTAAAAAGCAAACTGCTTTGAGTTGTATGTCTCGTGCTGTGCTTATGATTTAAAACACGATAAGAAGCAGACCGATTCAAGGGTAGTTTACCAAAAATAGACATTTCCTGGCTGACCTTTGACACAGACACAGTGAAGTGATGCGGTTAAAAGAAAAAACAAACCAGAACAAACATGACCCATTCTTATTGCTATGAGCGCATTTCAAGGGTCAACTAGTGAGTGACAAAAGTGCTGAACACGCAAAAAAGCAGCACAACTTTTCCTTAGTTTCTTGTCAACAGCTTGACAAATGTTTTTTCTGGCGCATAAAAAAAGAAAAAGCCAACACATTCAAATGCGCATGCAAGTCTGAGTAAAGTTAAAATCAACCCAAAACAAAACAAAACAAAGCTTACCTGCATCGAGGAGTCGCTCGGCGTGAATAAAGGTGCCCGGAAATGCCGTCAGTCGGGCCCTGTCTTTGAGCAGCTGCTGCAGGTACTCGGCGGTGGAGTGGACGGCTCCAGGACCACCGCCATTGCCATTGGCAAGTGAGCTAGCTTTTCCATTGGTGCCGCCAAGAGGACTAGCCGGCAGCAGTATTGGATGGCCGCCGGTGTACTCCGCCAGCAGTTGTTGCTGTTGCTGTTCCAGAGTTGCCTGATCTATCTGCTCTTGC